GGGGCCACAGATGGTTTTCCCTGCTTTGCAAGGAATCAAATCCTGAGAAACCATGTGAGCAAACCCTGCCTTTGCTCCCAAGAGCTGATGCAAAACCCAAGGTGAGGGTCAGACACAGAGAGAAGGCAGCCAGCACAGCCCAGCTGCATTTCTCTGCAGCTTGAAAGGGTCAGGTTTACAGCACTGAGCAAGCACCAGAAAAATAAATGATTAAAGGAAATTTGACAAGGAAAGGGGGTGGACGTGGGTAGAGAAACGGGAAGGAAGGAAAACTCAGAAGATCTTGGCAGAAAACCAATAGGTAAGAAAAGAAACAAAGAAAAAAAAAAAAGAAAAAAGAAATCATTAGAAACCATCAGCTGAGTCTACCCATGGCCAAAGTGGGAAGAAATGGCCAGTGCAAGCAAGATGCTGGGAGATGCTGCCCTGCTCTGCTTGTTGCCAGGCTTGGAGCAGACCTCTCTTTCCAGTGCTAGGATTCATGTGACAACAGCTTCTTGCTTTCTTTTGGTAGTCTACAGAAACGGGGACCTGCTGCAGTTCCTATCTCCTGTCAATCAACTCCACAGTCTATCTGTGCCTTTTTTAGTCAACTGACCTTTTCTATTTTACTTCTTTTTTAAATTCTACACTGCTTTAGAAGCCCAAGTCCTACAAAAATCAAATGCTCCACTTAGCAAACAGGGCATATATCAAAAACACTGTCTCCAGAGCTGTACTTCTAGTTTCACTGATCTCTGTGCCCTCTCCACCCCTGCACAGCTCTTGCAAGAAAGATCACCTTGTGCTGTTACAAAGTGGGGGAAAAAAAGGAAAAACAAAAAAGCCAAATTTTTCAATGAATTTGAAGGAGCAGTTGTAGGAGCAGTTCCTATGTCCATTCTGCTGGAGGGAAGGAAACTGAATTTATAGATTCCTCAAGTATGCCAGACCGTGTAAGAAAGAAAAATGAGGGATTGAAACCAATAGTTACATTGTGTCTCATTCCTGAGCTCCTATTTCCCAGCCTGGTACTGAAGAAGGAGGACAACTACCATCATCTCCCTGCAATTTGGTGGCCGACAGGAAACAATTTTGTGGTTTAAATCCAGCTAACAGCAAACCAAGCCCATGTTAAGAGCGAGCCTTGCCACACAACGCACTTTTGTTTGCAGCCTCAGGATTTAATTAAACAGGTAGATAAAACCTACCTTTTAACCCACGCTCCAGGGTGTGCCTCAGTGAGATAAAAAAACAGGCTGCAAAAACAGGTCAAAGATGATTCCAGTGCTGGTGCAGCATCTGCGCCCCACTCAAACACCGTCCCACCGCACTCCTCAAGGAGGGCAGCTGCACCAACACCTTCACTTTCTGCCCCAAAAGCAGGTTGGTTTGGTTTCTCCTTTTCAGTGCTGCATCTCGATTACCCATGGGCTGTATGGGGCCATAGCAGGGTCTAACGTGCTGAGAAATTAAAAATCTAGCTCCCTTCCTCTTGTGGCAACCCTCTTCCCTTCCAGTTGTCTGACCGAACTCCCTCTCCATACATCCTCCACCTACAACTTCTTTTCAAGCATTTCCAAAACAGAAGTAGAAAGAGTAGAAAGGGCAAATCCCTTCTTTTTTCCCCCCCTCTTCTTCCTCTGACAGATTTATTATTCCCTTATAAACAACTACTTCTCCCAGAGACCGAACAAAGCAGCTACTTACATGTCATATTTTAAACAGGCATGTTTTCAGGCCAAGAAATAAACAGTTATATTTTGGCAATCCCTCATTTCCTGTCCTATTTGCAAGTGATAATGTCATAACACAGTGTGTCCCATGCCTTCCTCCCTGGCTGAAACTTGCAGCAAAATAATTTAGCTGAATGAGCTGCCTTTAATACCTACAGAAAAATCATCAGAATGGGGCATAAATGTAGCGAAAATGACGGGGGGAAAATAAATTTTTTCAACACAAAGGGCAAACTGCAATACTTATGGATTCAAAATTCAGAGCAAGCATCACTGGTGTCTGCTCAGATATGGAGGGAAATGAGATTTTTGGATGGGCAAAAGAACCAGCAAGAGTCAGTTGAGTCTAATTTTCTTTCCTTAGACAGGAAAAAATACATCGGTGTGATCTCACACCACATTTTGCTGTCCTGGACACCACCACAGCAACCCTACACATATACCACTTAACCCAGCTCGTTAAAAACCTCCGGGGGACCAGTCCCACTTGCAAACACTTGGCAGGAGCGCTCCCAGCTCACTGGAATAAACCAGGCGTGCGCTGGAGCGGCGGGGACGCTCCCGGGACACAGCCCGGCCAGGGCATCGGGCTCCATCCCAAGCAGCGCAAGGCTGCGGACCAACACTTCCTCGTTCTCTGACCTTTTCCATTTAATTACTTCCTGTGACTTTCTTGGAACCATGCATCGGAATGAGCAGGCGGCAGCCTCCGGGCATAACCGAATCACTTTAAGGGCTCAGCTCCATTCTCCCCCTCACAGGCGGAAAAGCCACGGGCAGCAGCCCGTCCAGGATGGCTGCGGAGAGGGTCGCCCACAGCCGCCCATCTTCTGGGTGCGCCGCTGCCCGAAATCCCCCAGCGCTCAGGTCCAGCACCGCAGCCTCTGATTTATGGCCTGGCATCCTCATTCTGCCCCCACCCTGCAACGTGGAAGCAGCACGGGCTGAGCGAGGGGCAAGGAGGAAAGCAGAAATGAAGGCTGAGATGCAGAAAGAGGCGCTTGCTTGGCAATGACAAACTGACCTCTATGTATCGATCCGAAATGGTGCAGTTCTGAAGGGACCGATGAGTTTCCAGCATCTCAAGTCCTGTTTGCTTCCCTTCTCGCTTTTATAAATTGCCTCAAAACTCTAAGTGTAATTGAGCTGTTCTCAAGAAACTACTTAAAAAAAAAAAGGCAAAAAGAAGGGGGGGAAACCCTTGTTATTTACTTGAAGAGGGTTATTCTATAAGGCATCCTGACAGTGGTCCCTTTTTTTGTAATCTGGCTGTTAACATTTGCTCACAGTGCACTCAGTGAAACAAGAATAGCTATGCAAATTAAAGCCAGATATCTAGGGCAAATAGCGCGCTATACTACCATTGTTCTGACAGCTTGAGAAAACTTATCAGAAGAGCCTGTCCTTATTTCTTTTAACACCATATATATTGGAGAAAAAAAAATCAAATCACTTCACCCACCACTGAAATGAAAAAACAACCCATGAGTCACCGACTTCAGCAACACTATCAATCAATGCAAGGCTGGAAGCGAGGAGCTTACAGAGGAAACCATGGCTTACCTAAAACACCTCTCCATGCCCTACAAAGCCAAGGCCTGCGCTAAACCCTAACAGCCCAACCATGGCCGCCAGGAGAGCCACCAGGGATGTGCACTGAGGTAAGGACCATGAGGCACCACTGACCCTGAAAGTCAACGCATCCAGACCCCAACAAAAAAGCTTTCAGTGGCCTGGGAATGGGTTGAGTACCAGCTCCCTGTGGTCACCAGCACTCCCAACCTCCAAGGGACCAAAGCACACAGTGCTGCTGGCTTGATAGGTGACCCCAGGAGAGGTGGCCTGACCCAAGAGCTCCCACACACATGAAAACCATTAGCTGAAGCCTCCCTCAGCATGGCAGTGCAGCAGCACATGGAAGAATTCACTCCCAAAACAAACTGCAGCCTACAGTCAGGGGAAAAAAATCCCCCACATAACCATCAGAGCCAAGTGCTCGGTGTTTTACACCAACATTCACCTCTCCACTGAGCCCTGCAGGAAAACACATTTGGAGCAGGATCTCACCTCAAGATGAAGGTTGGGGAGCGCCAGATTTTTGTCCACTGAATTGGGTTAGGTTTGACCCCGCATTCTCAAATCCAGAGACAGGGACCCACTTCTCTTCCTCTTGTCCAATTTGAAAAGTTTAAAAAAAACCCCAAACAAACCAAATGAAGAAGCAGGTTTTTTATTGGAAATGAGTTGGCCACGTTTTTCCAGCCTGCTAGGTCATGCAACTACTTCTTTTTTTGGTTTTTTTTCTTGTTTTGGTTTTTCTTTTACCAAATTCAAAATAACCATGATTTTAGAAGCTACACATAAACACGTATTTATAGTCTCTTCATTAAGAACCGCCAAAATATCAATTCCTCTCAACACACACATTGGGGCCAGAAGCCATTTCCTTCGCCACTCACATTTCTCCAGTAAATCACCCTAAAATACGTTTATCATGATGAAGGTGCAAGCGTGGCACATGCCACCGATTATGATCTTTTCGGACCTCAAAACCGAGCCAAAAAGTTGCACAATTTTGACGCTGCTTTATAAGCCCTGCAAGGAGTCGTTTTGAAGCACGGTACATCCTATGGCGCTTGGCACCGACCCAGTCCTGCACGCCAGTGAGTCATTCCTCTTGACTGTCAAAACCCCGAAGGAGATAGCCAGGAACAGCCCCCTGGGCCAGCACGGCGTGAAAGAGCCCTTCCTGCCATTCCGCTGCAGTAGCTTTAGGTTTTATTTTGGGGAAGAAAGCATTAAAAAAGGGAAAAGGGCACCGTCGGGCATTTTGAAAGCCTCGGTGCGGCCTGTCGGGGGGTTTATTAGCGGGGAGGCGGCGGGAGGGCTGCGGAGCGGGGGTGGGCGGCGGGGGGTGACGGTGAATGGAGAGGCCGCCGGTGACCGGGTTTATGAATGCGGCGTCATGTGACGGCGGCGGCGGCCGCCCTCCTATTCACAAAACGGTGGCGGTCGGGGCGGGGATCCGCGACGTCGTGTGTCCCCCCCCAGCTCCGCTTCCCGACCCCCCAGGCCCGGGGCTGCGCGGCGGGGGCGCGCACCGCTCCCCCCTCCCATCTCCGCCGCTTCCGCCTCCGACCGCCCCCGCCGGGCGCCCCGAGCCCCTCGGCCGGGGCGGGGAGCGGCGGCGGCGCCCCCTCCCTGCGGTGCCCCGGGGCCCCGCACCCCGGCGGGGCCGCGCCGCCCTCCCGGGGGTTTTTATGAATGAAAGGGCCGTATGCAAATGAGCGCGGCCGGGGGGAGCGCGAAATGGCGGATGCGCGGGCGGGCGGCGCGCACACGAACGCGCGTGTTCGCGTCCCTCTGTCCGCCCGCGGCCGGTCCGTCTGTCCCTCAGTGCACGGGGTACGGAGATGAGCGACCGGCACCGGTTCCCGCCGGGGCAACAAAGCCTGCCCCCTGTTCCGTGCCCCGACCCGCCCGCCGCCCCCGGCCCCGCTCACTCGTCAGGGTAGGCTTCCTCGGTCATCTTCTCCCCGTCTAGGCTCATCCCTCGCCGCGGGCGGCCGGGCTGCGCCTCCGCATCTTCCCGAGCTTCACATGGCGAGGGAGGCCGCGCCGCGGCGGGGCTGGCGGCCGCGCCGGGCCCGACGGCGCGGGAGCGCGGGCGGCGGCGGGGGGGGGGAGAAGGGGGGACTACGGCCGCGCTCGTCGCCGGGCGGCGGCGGCCGGGGGCGGAGGAGGAGGAGGAGAGGCGGCGGTCAGCGCGCCGCGGGGGCGCGGCGGGGCGCGGCGGCGGCGGCGGCGGCGCGGGGTCCGGGCCCGGGGGAGCGGCGCAGCGCCCGGGGGCAGGCGGCGGCGCCGGGCCAGCCCCATGGCCGCGATCACGCCATGGCGGGGCGCCGCGGGGGGCGGCGGAGCGGGCAGGGAGGGAGGGAGCGGGAGCCCCGGCAGGAAGCGGCGGCGCTGCCGCGGCCGCCGGGAGCGGGCAGGGCAGCGCCGGACCCGGGCGGTAGGAGGGAAGGGAGGAGGGAGGGAGCCGCAGCGGCGGCGGAGGGGAAGGAGGAGACGCGGCCGGCAGTGGCGCCGCCCCGGCCCGGCCCCCCGAGCCCCCGCGGCGCAGCGCAGCGCCCGGGGTGCGGTCCCGCCGCGTTCGCCTCCGCCCGCTGGCGCCGCCCCCCGCGCCGCAGCCCCCGCGCCCCGCCCGCCGCCCGGCGCTGCTCTCGGCCGGGCCGGAGCGACGGGGCCCGCTCGGCTGCGGCTTGTGCCGTACGGCCCGGCTCGGCTCGGCTCGCCGGGTTCAGCCTCAGCCGGCCCCGCTTAGCCCTGCGCAGCCGGACCCAGCAAGATCTGGCTCAGCCCTGCCAGGCCGCACTTAAAAATCACAGAATCGATTAGGTTGGAAAAGTCCTCTGAGATCATCGAGTCCAACCTATGACCGAGCACCCAGTCAGACAGTGGCACTGAGTGCCACGTCCAGTCTTCCCTTAAACACCTTTGGGGGCAGTGACTCCACCACCTCCCTGGGCAGACCATTCCAATGTCTAATGACCCAATTCCTGCTAATATCCAACCTGAAACTCTCCTGGCACACCATAAGAGTGTGTCTTCTTGCTCTGTCGCTGGTTGACTTGGAGAATACCTTGCCAGATGCTCCTTTCAGGTAGTTGTAGAGAGTGATAAGGTCACTCCTGAGCCCCCTTTTCTCAGGCTAAACAACCCCATCTCCCTCAGCCACTCCTCATGAGATTTGTGCTCCAGACCCTTCATCAACTTTGTTGCCCTGCTCTGGACATCTTGGCTCACCTCAACCTGACTTCTCCCATCCTGGCTGGGTTCAGCCCAGCCTGGCTCAGCTTGGTTCGGTTTGGCCCAGGGCAGCCTGACTTGGTGCAGCTCCTCGTAGTGGCTGATGAGACCCATAGGATGCGTTTCCATACCATGATGCCGTGTGCCCTGTGAGTGGTCTGGCAGCTGATCAGTAGAAGAAGCCCAGGGAGCTAATGTTGCCCCCACAGCTGTTTTCTCACCATCCTTGTGTTCTTCCCACCCCACCTTGCCCTCTATGAGAGCTCAAATTGCCCCTTAGTGCCACATTCAGAATTGCTGTGAGGTGCACGCTGGCATGCTGGTAACATCATACAGCTTTTCTCGTAGGTCAGTTCAAATGTTTTTTGCTGCAATGAACCGTGTAAACACTCTACAACTTGTGTTGCGTTCATAGCTACACCATGACATCTGCCCTCAGGAATTGTTTGGTCCACAGAGGAGGGGTAACAGGAGCTGACTATAGAAAAAATAGTTTGGCCCATGAAGTTAAGTAACTAGCTGTGAGCTTTGGTTTTGCTTCCCCCATCAATTCCTCTGTGATCGAGCAGTCCTGGGAGAAGAAATGTGTCTGTACCATCTAAGCACATCACCTTGCCCTCCAGCTTTTGCAGGCCCCTCCACTGCAGCATCCCTTTCCCACAGCAGGTAGGGAGATGTGCCATCTCTGCTCTCACTGCATTGGGATATTCGTTATGGCTGCGGTTCCTAAGGGAGTCACATACTGATTTAACTTTCAAGTCTAGTCTATGTGATTTAGTCTTGAAGGGGCCTTCAGATTTTGGTGTGGAAATTGTGTTTCTGCTCTGCTGGGTTTCAGTTTCTAAGTGCTGTAAATTTTCTTTTCAGGAACAGAAGTGGAAACTCGGAGAGAAACCTGTGGACTGCTAGTAAATGAGATGGAGGCAAGAGCTGATGAAAGCTTTGAGGTCTTCTCCTCAGGGAGAAGCAGTGTGTCCTTCAGAGGTGGTACCAGAATTTGCAGCTTTGTGGCCCAATATTACAGTAATATTCCTGTCACTGCTAGAGGTTTGGCCATAACACCAGATAATGTGTGAGAGTGCAAGCCTGCTGCCCTCCCTTTGGAAGACTGTGGCTGCTCTTTTGGGCAGCAATGCTGTCTATCCCCCCTTTCCACCCATTCCTTTGCAAAGCCCAGTTTGTCACCCCCTTGGCTGTGCTAATGCATCCCCCACTGAGGAGTGACACTGCTGGATCTGCTAAATGGTCCCAGTCAATAATACCCCCCAATACCTCTTTCTTTTGGAAAGTTATTCAAGGATCCAGCTTGCAGAATGGCATGATAAACATCTTGGCAAAGCTGAGCTGGCAGCAAAAGGAAGTGTCAGGACAGGAGTAGAGCGGTTGGGGGCAAGGAAATGGCAGGAACGTCTTCAGCTGCTGTACAATAAAAGACCAGATGTAATGATTTGACACAGTTCCACCCATCCTATGTCTTTTTTTCCCCCCCAAAGGATGCTGAGATTGCACAGACCTCTAACATCCTCAAAATCTTTCATGCCAAAAATTCCTGTGATTAGCAGGAACATTGATGTGCCTGAAGTGGGGAGCATGGCATTTAGCAGTTGCTTACTACAGAAGCAGAATATGGGGAGAGTTATAGCCCTGTGAAAAACCCAGGGCACAATCATGTAATTAAAAGGCCATTATAATGGTTGTACCTCTGAGGTGGACTGGGTATTAATCACTGTCTGATTAATACTTGAGAGCTTGTCTGTGTGATCTGGATGTAGTTTTATGTGCTTATGTTGTGTGTGCACATATTTACCCCAATGGTGAGAAGCAAATATGTCTGAGGCTTGGAAGCTGAAGTTTTACTTGATCTAGCTTCTTGAGTCATTTCCTGTGGATTTGCAAGATCTCTTATTTGATCTCTGCTTTCACTGTCCTGCCAATTTGCAAGCTGCTAAGTGATTTATTCTCTTAATGGTTTCTCTCACTCACTGCACAACCCTCTTACTATTACTTTCACCAAAGTATTGAATTTTATTTTTCTAATATTCAGGTTACTGTGCCAGTTCTTGTAAGCCTGTTGGAGCTGACTGACTTTTCTGAATGAAAAGGCTCTCTCTCAGAGGTGTGATTTCTGTTTGTGCATTGTGTTGTTTGTACACAGAGCTTCTGCTCAAACACAGAGTAGCGCTTCCCCGCGATGCGATCGTTAAGGTACCTAGAATTAATTAGCCTTTGGTGGCAGAGCTTCAAGGCAGCAGCTCCTGCATACTAACGATTTGTCTGCTATGACTGTCCTGTGCTTTATATTCAAAAGAAACATTTCTTTTGCAGAGTAATACTTCAACTGTTGCAGAGAACCTTGTTTCTGCTCAGATTGGAATAAACTTCCCTGAGTGCTGTTACACCTTTAGCTAGCACTTATTTAGGGTGAGAACCACTGGAATTTGAAGTGTCAAAGTTTAGGATGGCATTTACTGCAGGCTTGCAATGTAGCCTCCTGCCTTCCCTTACTCTCGCTTGTAAAGCCTTTCAGCCTTTGAGCTGAAATCTTCCACACTGCTGATTTAGGAACCTAATTATGAATGCTGGTACCCTGTTGACTGTGCTGAATTCAATGATTTTTCCACTGACTCACTTGGTGACTTTGAATGAGTGAGGAGTGGAAGTCAGCAGTCCTGAATCATGCCATGCTCCAGACAATTACCCCCCTCCCCAATAATTCTTTTGAGCAGCAATCATATTTTAAAAGCAACGATTGCATCTGTATTTTCCCCCATCATAATTGCTCAGAATTTAAGAGCTACAAAAACAATCTGCAACATTTCAAGTCAGTGTAAAGTCTTTCAGGATTGACACTTTTTGGGAGGTCACAGTTTGGAAATACAGGGTTTTTTTTTCCAGCAGCAGTGGGATTTTAGCATGTGGTTTGGAGAATTGTTGGGATCCTTTTTGGGCACCTGCCAGGGGAAGAGGATGTGGAGAGCTCCTTGCAGTCTTCCCAGGATGTCCTTTTGGAGGCTGGTAAAACCAGAGCAGGCAAGCAGAACAGACCCTTGCTGCCAGATGAGCAGACTATTCCACTTCTCCATTTTTCGGGCTTTGTAAACCTGCATTTTACCAGGACAGAAAGTTGAGGCGATCTCTGCGCTGCTGCCTGTGTGGCTTTTCTGGACACCATGGGATCAACTTGGGCAACAGCAGCAAATGTGCTGAGGGCTGGGAAGGCATTGACCAGTGCATGGAGTCAGGCATGAGTCATGCCTATGGGACAAATCTGGTGTCATTCGTAGCTGTGTTCCTCAAACCTCGTGCTCTCTTTCATCCTCTTCCAAAATAAAAGCAAAGTTTATTGAAATGGGGAGATGGTGAGGAAAAGCAGTATTTTCAAACCCTTGCTTTCCTACTGGGCACTCTGTTGCCCTCTTAATATTCAGCAGTAAGTGATTTATAGCCCCCCTGACATGGTGGTTTGGTGTTTCCTTTGTGTGCATAACTTCCTTTTGATATAAAGGGATGATAACAAACCTAAATTGAAGTCTCACAAGCACATGACACTTTGTCTTTGTGGTGCAGATAGCAGGAAAATGCTCTAATCTTGAGTTCAACACTTCAGCCTACCCACCCCCAAATTCCACCCTGGTGAGAGGGTGGTATTAGCAGGTTTAGTGAGACAGCAGTGTTGGTGGGGGTGATTCTTTCACACACAGTAGTGCAGGATGATGGTTTTGGGAGTGCCACTGGAGTCAAGTCCCTGGCAGGGACTCAACAAGAGACGGGTGCACAGCTGCTTCTTGAACTTTTTTGCGTACCTTTTTGTGCTGAATGCTTGGAAGGAAAAACTGCTACAAAACCTTCACTTTCTGCTGCCAGTTCTGCAGTGGTGCTCCTGCGTGTTCCCGACTCAGCATGTCCTGGACCATCAAACTGAAAAATAAGTGTGCAGAAACTTTGCAAGTGTCACCACAACCTCAGGATTAGTCCTGAAGCCAGGCTACTTTCAGCATGAGGGAAGGGCTGCTCTTCTCTTGAGATGCCTTTCCACCCTTGAGAGGTTTCTGAATTTTTGATACAGCTGTTTCCAGGGCCTCATGAGAACTGAACAAACAGATGCCAAATAAAGTTTTACTTCACAGAGCACAAAAGTGGGTGTATCTCAGAAAAACACTGGACTTGTTCACACCTTTGTCTCCCCTCCTTGGGGGTCATTTGAATCAGGTTTGAACCTTTTAAGTGTATTTCAGAAAGCTGCCTTCTGATAGCCAAACTTCACTTGGGTGTTCCTCCCTTTCTCTCACAGCTATTGTGAGACCATCTCCTCTGAACACTCATGTTCCCTTTATTGCAAAGCTCTTTGATTAGCCTCAAGAGGTGACATGATGAACAGTTGACTGACTACTTTGGCAAAACCAGTTTTTGTGGCTTGACCTCCTTTTCACACACAGTGTCTTGCTGTGAGTACAGGGTCCTATTCAGTGTCTGAGTGGTTATAATTGCTGGTTTACCCAGTCTAGACCTGGTTGTGGGAGAAACCCCCGCACAGGTATCAATCAGGAAAGGCTTCTGGAGTTAAATTAAGCATTTGAAATATGGAAATGCTGACATGGCTGAGTCAGATATTTGATGGTACACAGGGGAAATGAATTGTATATACCCTGTCTGAATCCTCATTTACTCAGCCCTTGGCTTCAGGGCTGCTCAGTGACACTGACCCGCTCCGTCCTTTGCAGATGCTTGGCCATATTTAATTTCAAAGGGTGCCAGTCCACCCTCTTCTCCAGGCAGATATTTTCCCTTGTGTCAACATCCTCATAACAACTCCAGCTAGGCAAATATAGCACATGCCTTATGAGTGTCCTGGAAGGACTCAGAGGTGGAGAGTTAGAGCTAAAGAAGTCTCATGGTTAACCCCATGCGCCACCTAATAGCTTTGGGATAAGTCCCAGCACATGATGAGGAAGCTGGGAGGAGAGTTTAATGGTCCTGCAGAGAACACCTCCTTAGACAGCCACCCTCCAAGATGTTCCCAAGGATTCCCATGGAAAATAATCCTGTGCTCCTTTTATGTTCTGGTAATCACACGCATACAATGCCTCTCTGCCAGTTCTAAGGAGAAAAGTGATTAGTCACTCCACACAAAAACCTTTGGGAACTGCACATATACTCCACTATGGATGCCAGCTCCATCTAGAAGGGAATGAAGACTCACAGCTCTGCTCTGTGTGGTTGTCAACAGAAGCTGCTGTTTGCAGGTACTGGATGCAAAGTGCCCACTGCCAGCTGCATCCCCAGCAGTGTTTGCTGCCAGGCTTAACAAAGCCCAGAAATGCAAGCCCCGCTCATGAGAGCTTCACACCTACAAGACCAAAAGCACAAGCTTGATCCTGCTCACAGAGCTCCCTTGTTTAAGACAGTAGACTCTCCGGTCTCTTAGAGAAAAAAAAGAAGGGCTGGTTATTGCTGGATGCCTGTTGTGACCTTAAAAGCTGAAAGTAAAAACAATCCAAGATATGGGGCATGCTGAAGTGGCAGCTGAAGGGCTTTTTTTGTTCCTTCTGCAGTTAATGCCGTCGTGCTAAAATTGCACACGGGTGGGAGTGGGGGTTAATTTAAGGTTTAGTGTGATCAAGAAGAATTATTTAGAAAATAGCAAATGGACAGCATTCTGAAAAATGAGCTTCACTTCCCTAACCAGGAGTACTTGACTTAAGCTGAAGAGACTATGAAGGAAACCTCCATATCCATGGCAGGTAAACATTTGCCTTTGATTCTGTTTTTCTCTTCAAGTCTAGAAACCCCAGCATTTACACTTAAATGGATGTGCTGTAAGCTATGTTTAGGAAGAGAATTTCATCCCCTCCTGCACGTACTTTTACACATGATAATTATTTGACTGTAGCTTTACAAAGTATGGCTGGAGGGATGGTTTGAAAGGGAGGAGTTACATAGCACTGATGATAACTGCCTGATTCAGCCCTACTGAAGGCAGTGGCAGCAGGATCAGACAATCCAGAAGAGATTATTTTATTTTAAATAGCCATTATGGACCTTCAGTGACTTATGATAAATTCCTGCCTTCTGATTTCATGCACTGGAGAACACACATGTGTGCTGGAACCATGCATGTCTTCAGAGTCACGTGTTCAGTGTGGACATGAATCTCTGCATTTTGTCACCATTAAAAAAAAACCAACAAAAAACCCCCCAAAAAAACCAAAAAAACCCCACCAAAAACTAACAGAGAGCTAGAGAGCTTATGAAGATGACATTTTTGTGAATGATGGTATTTTTTAATACCATCGATTTTGTCTTCATCAAACATATCACAGAGTCTGAGCTTTTCCTTTATTTTTTACATTCTGCTTCTTCTCACCCACTTGATCTGCTCCTTCCATACAAATGGAGTTGTAGTCCAAAACTCATGGGGGGGGTGAAAGAACTGCTCTATAACCACATGGTCTGGATGCAATACTTTGCACATAAGTGCTTCTCTTTGTGCCAAAGACATTACCACACTACTAGTATTTAATTTGTTAGCACACAAAGTGCTCTGGATAGCTGTGACATGGAAACACTTCCTATAAATTGGTTCCTGCTCAGCTCTAAAGACATTTGGGTCTTCTCTTTGGTGTTTTTCAGTCTAAAAAAGTACAAAGGTGAAAACTCTCCCACAAGGCCTGATCAAAATATTGTCTAAATGGCAGTCTAAATTTTGGCCTCTCTCTGGCTTGCAGGCAAAGCAGGACAAGTCTTTGTTTTCTTGAAAGAAACAGGGATGGCTGTCTTTAAAATCCTGAGAGGGTGGAAAGCAGAGATGATTTCCACCCTCCTGTGGCAAGGTCACTTCTATCCCCCCTGCAGATGGACCTACTGTAGTAAGAGGATGGGCAAGGCACTTTTGAGAAAGGTCACCAGAGCCTGCTGTTGTCCTGTGCTTTCTAAGGAATGCAAGCAGTGGTAAGGGCTTTGTGCCACTACCATTTAGCTGTCACCCATATCACAGGCAGAGCTTTCTTTGATCATAATGTCTCCTATTGCAGGAAGCTGGGGAAACTCTGCAGTAACTTTGCTGCACACAACTACCCCAAAAGGGACTTTGACCTTTTAACAATGGCACTTCATTATACAGTATTTTCTTGTGTTGATTTTTCAAGTATTGGGGTGGAGATAATCACTGAGAAACACGAGATCTTGAAAAAAATTAAAATATATTAAATTATATATTGTGACTTCTGATTTAGAGTATCTTTGTAATCATGTCTGATCTTATATGCTAATTTTCATTTGTATCCTTCACAGTCATTTGTAGGTGTGGAGGAAAGTGTTGGTCTTCCATTACAGCAGAAGGAGCTACAGCCCAAGGAGACACCTGGGTGTCAGGAAGAGGACTCAAACTCAGGAACATTTGGGAGTCATTTAAGATAGGAAGACAAAATCCACTTGAGTTTAATTCCCTGTGCTTGTTTGTGTATGTCTAGTTGCTTGGCTGTGAGTGGTGCATAAATCACCTGAGACTCTCCATTCCTCTGTAATTTACTGTTGGAAAGGACAGAAATAAATTCTAACATATTTGTGCGACACACCAGAATTACTCCAAACTTAGAAGAATTTTGGAGCAAAGTTAAAGGCTTCAAGCCTAAATTGCACACTGCTAATTATCTCCTTATATTTTATGTCATCATGGATTAAAATGAAATGCTGCTGTGAAGGTGCCCCATCAAACAGAACATGGTTCTAGTTGTTTGCCTTGTGTGGCCTGAGTAAAAGTGCATTTCCGCCCTAGGAAAATCCTTTATGCCCTGATTTCCAAGTTCAAAAATAACTCTCTACAGATGAAACATGTTTCTCACCCTTTAAAGTAGTGTTTTCACCTACAAATACTTGCTGCCTAAACAAGAGCTCTTTCCTTTGCACTTGTGCCAACATGCAACTTGGATAAAGAACTAAACTTAGATTCATAGTTATAATGCTTCCACTGACTTTTTTGGTTTTGTTTTTTAATAATGACTCTAAGACATGTGCCATCTCTCTCCTGAATTTTAATCTTTCTAATGAAGGTGTGTTTGAAGAAGGCACACCCTTCAGAAGATGTTTTGTGGTATCGTCTTTGAGCCTTTAGTGTTGAGGACCAGCTGCATTTTCAATTTTAAATGCACTTTTCAGGGTCTTACATCACAGAGGCCTAAATTAAAACACACTTACCATAAAGAGGTGCAGCACATGCATTCATCCTGGAAATTGCACTGCGACATGAAAGATATCCAAACCCTACTTGTAATTTTGAAGATGAGCAAGCCTTGGCCTTTCAGATGTCCCACGTGAGGGAAGCGCACCCACGTCCCGCAAAATCGTAAGCTTCTGAATCATGGAAGCTGGATCTTAAAGCCTCTAATTCCCACTGAATTAGAGATGTTTGACAATGTGTGTGGCTGTGAAAATTAATCCCAGTGCTGGACTGGGGGTGGCCGACTGCCTGGTGGATGTGAGCCGACACAGGAACCCCTGTGGTCCAACACTCAGGGTGACCCAGGGAGATGCAGAACTCAGTGATGGGCAGCTCTCACTTTGTGCCTCCCAGATCATCCTCCACATGCTATTCAGGATCAGGGATCAGGATCTGGTGGCTCCCCATGGCATGAAAATTTTCTTTAGTGGTTTGTAGGCTGAAAAAGGCTGGTCATGCCTTCTGTAAAGAATTATCTGATTAGCTCTAGATGTCTTTCTCCTAATTAAGGTTATTGGAGAAAATGTTTCTTCTCTAGTATGGTGGTAAACACCAGGAGTGAGAGCACTGCACCTTTATTTTGGACATATATACCATGATGAGAGCAGCAGCTGGTCTTTAACTTCACTCCCTGCAGCTATGGAAACCTTGCCACAGGTTGTGCACCCTGCAGAAACAGAGACCTCCTTTCGGGGTTCATGGGTTTAATGCCAAATTCTCTCTCCATATACATGGCTCCCAGGAACCAAACAGTAGCTTCAGAGAGCCATCAGCTTCACTAGCCTGCAGGTATACAGAGGGAACCCCCAAACTTCAGTCTAAGACTTCCCTTCCTGCCTCTATTTAATGTCAGTTTCACTTGCAGCTGTTCCAGGGAAAGGTTTTTTTGCAACCTCTTTCAAGTATCAGATACTGGCAATCCCTCTCCTGGAGTGCCGTGGTTGGAGAGTATCCTGGGCTCACTTGGGAGGGCAAGGCTCTCCCATATCTAAACATTGCAGTAAATGTTACTCAGCCTCCTGTAGGGTTACTGGGCTTGACACAAATGTCCTAGCCAAGCTCACAAGGAAGAGGAAATATGGGAATATACGCCACCAGAAGACACTGTCTCCCTTGACGTTTTTGCCTGTAAAACAATAGCTTACAGAACATTTTTAACTGAAAGGTGTTGTTGGCCTCTTTCCTTTTCATTTTTTGACTTTTGTTTCCTGTAGGAGGGTCTCTGAATTCCTTAATGTTGTCATCGAGTCCTAGGGATTTTTTTTCCCCTCTTTTAGCTGTGCTACATCTCCCAGGTTGCCAGCAATGCAAAATTGCTGATGGAAGACATTTCTGTTTAAACTGGAAGCCATGAATACAAGAGCTTCTCCTCCCAAAGGAAATGTTGTTTTTACTTCCATGTCCCCAGTCTTACATCTTTGCTTTGTACTCAGGTATTTTCACTTGAGACTTCCCAGTTTCCTAGAAATTCTGATTTACTCTCTTGCTGAGTCTGTGGAACAAGATACTAAATCTATCTTGCTTGGAAAAAACAATTAAAGAAAGAACAATAAAACCCTAATTGAAACATTTTGCTGAAAAATGTCACAGCATAGTGATTTTTGAAACAAAAGCCAAATAAATACTTTTTGCTTTTCTAAATTAGGAAAAGAAATGCACGTGTATACCCATTCAGTTGGAGTGGAATTGGAAAATCTTTGTTTCATATGCAGTGCCAGCTTCAGGAAAAGGACAGTCTGGCTTTGTCTTCTTATGTGTATTTGTGGGTCTTTGTTATCAATATTTAGCAGTCAGTCTTGGGAAGTTTTACTGTGATGTTAAGGAGAAGGCTGCAATTCCAGGCACTAAGGTGCTAAGGTGGCTCCTTTGGAAAGCCTGAAATGTGGCTGCCTGCTCTTAGGAACTTCTCTAAAGCCACAGGGACTCTGCACAACACTTCCTTCTAACTCAAGACAACCAGATGTCCAAGGCTCAGGTCCATTCTGAGGTCCTAACAAGTACCTTTGGGATATTGTTTTGTCCCAATTTTTTTTCCTGGATATGTTTGTTTTTTTTTTTCCAGCAAGCCCTGCTTCATCTGCAGTGATCTGATCTTCTTCCACTCAAAAAGACAGGAGTCTCCCATGCAGGAGACTTGTGCCTCACCCACCTCACCACCCTCCCCAGCTTGTCCTCCCTTCACTGCTCCTTTCTCTCTTTACGGTCATCACCCAACTGTGAGCTTTGTAACCTCAGTGCATTTATATCCCTGCTCTCCCTGATCTCAAGGGATAAGTTCCTGTCAGTCCCACCCAGAGGGATCATTCTTGTGTGCAATGACTTTCGGGTACATCATGCAGAACCTCAGTCCAGGATTCTCTGGCCAGAACTGAGACACCACGTTCCCTTCCACCATGTGAAAATGAAAGTAAGCTTGTCCACAGCAAAACCACAGAGCAGTGGTGAAGCCTCCAGTGTTGGCGGAGGTGGAATAAAGCACACAAATCTTTACTTCAGATTTTCAAGGGGTGCAAAATACATGGATGTGCCTGTCAGCAAGACTTCCAGAAGGACAAAATGTCACGGGGATCCCCACTACGAAAAGCAGCCCTAAGGTCGGTGACACAGGATTTCCGCAAGCTGGTGCTTATCTTGTAGACAGATCTCCTGGGGGGTGAAAAGTCAGACACACACACACAGGTACAGTGAGCACAGCTGTCTGTTGTGGGGCTGTAAGGAACTGCCGGAAACCCACGGAGGAAGATGCAAAAAAACCCCAAAAATGTAAAGGGGAAAGGCGGGAGGGAAGAAGCTGTTTTTCTCAAAGCTTGGCTGCCCTTGCAAGCAGAGTAACATCACAAAAGGGACACATGGTTATGCAGGTTTAGACCATGAAATCCTTTTGGAGTTTTGCAGATGGTGAAGTAGAGAGAAAGAAACTTCACTGAACACCTGTGCAGTGGTTAACGAGATGTTTTCAGGAGAGTTCACCCATGAGTAGGCACAGCAGCTTGCTGTGCTGATAAAGCTCATTTCTGCTCTGGAGTTAGGCAAATGTAACACATTAGTAAATGTGACAGAGGCAGAAAGATTAAATAGGAACAGATTGCCTTTACCCTACCTGCTTCACACACTCACGTGGCGACAGAATCTGCATTGAGCATTTTAGAAGCTCTTGAAATTCTGAAGTCAGGTGGCCTGGATAATACTGACTCACTTCTTATGTAGAAGTTAAGAATGGAGTAAAATGGGGTACTTGAGGGCTCAGTTTGGCCCAAAGGAGCAAAGGTTTGTTGCCCGCTCCATGTCTGCATGTCAGGAAGGCATAAAGCAGAGAACAAAACCTCTGAAAGAGCTGGGGGAATAATAGCTGCTTCAGTTCAGGGGCTGAGCTGGAAAATGGAGAGTAAAAGAACTAGATTGCATCAAAGCAAAAGAAATGGTAATTTTTACTTCCCCCCCCCCCCCCAAACTTGTTTTTCTTGGGGGAAATGGGAAAAAACCCCAATGTGTTATTTTGGGTCAGCCCAAATTGCATTTTGAATGTAATATTTTGTTTTGAGGTTAGTTGCCCCTCTTGTTTCTCACACTTTCTTTTATTTCATGTCTTTTTGAGTGGAAAATGCCACTTTTAAATAACAAATCAGAGGGTTGTGTTTAAGAGGCAGTGAAGTAGAATGCTTTGGGATTTTCAAAACAATTTCTTTCAAGAAATGTAGTTATCTATGTATTTCCTCCATAAATTTTTGGGTGAAGTTGAAAATGTTTGCCATGTTTCATTCATATTGGCATATTGGAAACTCCAAAATGGCATGGTTTGGGTTTGTCTTTTTTTCCTAGGTATTTTAGGGGTTTTTTTTGTTTGGGTTTGTTTGTTTGTTTGTTTTGTTTGTTTGGTTTTTTTTTGTGTGTGGTTTTTTGGGATTTTTTTGTTTTGTTTTTTGGTTTTTTGGTTTTTTGTTTTGTTTTTTTGGCCTTATTCAATTTCTGCTGAAGGAATTGCCTCTGCAGAAACAACAAAAGGGAGATGTGTAACCTGAGGAATGGGAGATTTCAGGCAACAGGACAGGGCTTACAGCAGCACCTGGGGTAGAGGCCAATGTATGGCTGAAGGCAAAAACATGAGCTTATTTCCCAGCAAAGCTACTGAAGAAACAGCAGTGAGGAAAGAGTTGAGGCAACAGGGGATGGATGATCCAGTGTTCAGTTTTAAGTGGCTGTGCCACTGGAGGGCTGATTTTCCATCAGCCAGATCACTGTCACAAGCCTTGCATCCCAGGTTTTCTCAGTTTGCTGGCAGGCCCTAGAGAGGCAGATGTGTCAGATCATGGAAGGGATGTTGAGGGCTGGTTTTATTCTTGTGCACCCCATCCCCTGTGGGGGGATCTGCAGGGCTCTCTCCTTTGGTTGGGTTTGCCCTCTTAGGGCTATGGAGAGAAGGAGGTGCTCTCAGAGCTGCCACCCCTCTACTCTAGATTTGGGCTTGCTTGCTCTCCAGGCAGGCTTGGGGTGCATGGAGGAGCAAACTGCCTTGTGCTCGCTCCAGATAAGAGAGGTGATGCTGATAGGGGGGAGGGAAACAACTCGAGCAACTGACTGAAGCAGAATGTGGTTTGCAGCACAAGTGTTTGCCTGACTTGTCAGCGCTGTGAGGCAGGGGCAGGTGGGAGCTGGTCCAGGGGTGCCACACTGTGATGTCCAGTGGACAGTCAGGTCCTAGAGCTTCTCTTTCCACAGCATCCACTGTGGAGGCAGTAGCCCTTTAAAACCAGATGTAGGGTAACTGGCAGCTTAGGTGACAGGCATTTCCTTCCCAACCAAGAAATAATGCTGTGTGCTTTGACTAGCAGGGGAATGCAGACATTCTGAATTCAAGCCATTTAAAGTTAGAAACTCCTTTTTCTGATTTTCCCAGAGCTGGCCAGCTGTGGCCTTCTGTGTTTGCTGCATCATGAGATGCTTTGTAATGAGTGGTGGGGTCTCAGCAGGCCTTATGCTGTCACTGAACAATGGAGCGCAGACTTTCTTTATATCCTGGAAGGCATCAAATAATAGGAACAAGAAAAGTTGTCCAGCTGTGCTTCAGCTGGACTACTTTTCTCTTTTCATTTTTTCAATCAGTCTTAGTAGACAGCGTGGCTGTCTGACTCACTTGTCTTCTGAGGAGGATACTTAAAATGTAAATAGAAAACTTGTTTTAAGAAATGGCATGTGCCTAGCATGAAGAAGTAAGAATTACCCCTGCTGGAATAACCTTCCTTTCATTGGGATTATATTAGGGAGGAATTTGGTCTGCTCCTTGGCAGCTCCGTGCACAAGCTGGCCGTTGTTATTAAAATCTAGAAACTCATTCCTAACCTTAGTCACCTCAGGTGATTTGCACTTGAAAAGATCACACAGACTGGTAAATTTGGGAAGGATACATAAAGGACTAGCAACACGAACTGCCTTCTGGCTGGTGAGGGCTGGGGTTACTCAGATTTCTTGGCAGTGCAGGACTATTCATTAATTCAGTTTAACCCCCTACAAAGTCCATGTAGAGGTGAAGAATTGCAGGCAAAATCCACTGGCTGGACCCCCAGCTCAGAAGACTGCCTGGAGGTGTCTGTCATGGCTCAAGGTGTCCTGGAGAAGGAAGCCTAAGTATCTGGCTCCCCTGGCCAGTGGGAGACGTGCCTGTGACAGTGCAGGCAGATGTTTGCTGCTCACAGCTTCTCTCCCGTTCCTTGTCACAGTAAGGTGAAAATGGTCACAACAAGTGGCTTAAAGAGTAGATTTTGAAGAGAGCAGGTCAAGGGATCTGCGGGGCCTTGTGGTGGGAGTGACTTGAGCAGCACAGCTGCAGCAGGAGGAGGATGTGCAGCTCCACCCCTATGCTCCTGCTGGGAAAGGGCTGCTTGGGAGGCAAAGCCCAGCTCAGCAGGGACCTGGGAAAAAGAGGGCTATGAAACAATTTGCCTCCATCTATTGAAGCAAAGCAAGCAGACGGCATGGAGAACGACTCATATGCTAAGCCCATCATACTTGCTGTCATATTTTTTTGTTGGTTTTTTTCATTGTTGAAACCACTACAGAGAGCAGCACATTTCCAGGAGCCTGGCTCCAGCAAGCAAACCTTCCTGTGGCTTCCTGTCAGCTTGGGGAGGATTCGTGGCTGGGATGCTTTACCTTTTCCATGCCAACTATACTGGACCCATGTCTCAAGATGGTTCTTTGATACCCTGTACAAAGGATTGTTCCTTATGGTGTTTTTGTCATGAAATAATATGTTTCTGCAAAATTTAATCTGATTAAAATACAAAGAATTAGGATGGGGGACTGGATATGTGCAAAGTAGTATTTATGTATCTCTTTCTTTTGTTAATAGATAGGCCTGCCAGTCCCACAAAAACTTAAGCATGCACTTAGTGTTCCCAGTGGCTAATCCCATGAAAGTCTACTCCCAGTGTGTATTCAAGCACACAGGAACATCCGCATACGGCACGGACTGCACGGCCCTAACCCCGATGTGCTGACTTAGAGCTGTCAGTTGTGAATGTTCCCATGTCTGGAGCATATCCTCAGACTCAGGGATGCCTGAGCCCTCACTGTCTGGATCTACAAGGTGTTAAGTAGGATTTGGAAAATGGAGGGCTGGAACAGATAGGCAAGAAGTCACATTTAATGATGTGAAATAACGGTAGAAGCCAGGCACAGGACCATTAAATAATGGATTTGGTTGTTCATTATTTACTTCAGCCTTCCTTCTGCCCCCGTGAAATGCTGACTCCTGTGCTGGCCATCTAAAAATGGCACAGTTGCCATCACTTTTTCCAAATGGATGTATTTGTTTAATATTTTGAAAGCAGGTCTGACAAATCCACAAGTATCAGTGTTAGGCAGAAGAAGAGAAAGCTCAGAGATAATGCAGTATGTGCATGTAGTAAAGCATGCACCTTATCACTCAGTAAAATTGGTGA